GGATTGGCTGGACTCCCATGAACATGCAGATTAGGTCTCCACCCCTTCCTGCTTACTGCCTTCTGGAAGGTTCTATGGTCCTCCAGAGTCAGAAGGAGGTGATAGAGCCACAACCAGTTGAGTCATCCAGCTGACCTGCAATAACCCAACTTCAATCACGGACTCACACAATTACCATGAGTCGTACACAATGATTTTAGCTAGAATTTACTACACTATTCTAGTAGCACACTAGAGGGTGCTACGCCTATAATCTGTGGAGCTGCTTGTGATTGCTCTGGTCTGCTCTGAGTTTCACTGGCTGTGGGTTTAATTGCTCCCCCTTGCCTTCTGGATGGTTCTGGAAATCAACAGGCTGGAAGAGTGGAATCTCCAGTTTAAATTATGTGGTGTCAGCCAATCCCTGGGGGAGGGTGTCCAGTAGGTGGCTGGGAGCATAAATAGTTTGAGACTTGGAACTGTGGGGTTCTTGTCCAGAAGGAGAAGACTCCAGTCCAGCTGTGCTTTTTCATTGCTCATTAAGGTCCCAGCTGTGTTAGGTGGGGGGACTTTGCTGGAACTGATTGAGGGCTTTATATGGGGATTTGGTCTGAAGAACCCACAGGAGACATGTCTGGCTGATATCGAAGAAGGCATCCAAATACCCAAGGACATTTGTGAGTACAGACCAGTGAGTGAGATCCAAGTGATTGTGTGCTATCTCTCTTGTATCAGAGGGAAGCAGCCTGTGCTTAAAAGTGGACATTCCCAGTGATGTCCCTGCGTAGTCCAGTTTTTCACTTGCTGCTTTAAGGATTGTACTAGGAAGCTTAAGAAGGAGACAAGTGTCCTCAAATTACTACTTAACATTGCTGGAGTATCTAGCAACCATCCAATTTCAAGTTTAATAAAGCATCAGAAAAAGTATACTGCTAGATTAATTGCTGAGCCAGAAGAGTGACTGAGACTGTGTTCCTGGCCACTAATGAACTAACTGTGGAAGAACCTTAGGACCAAACCAGTGGGCCCTTTTGGGGGTGAGCACTACATACTATAATAGAGTTTTTTAAAAAGAAAGTTGATAGATGGCATAGAGCAGTTTTTTAGTCACTGTTCAGGAGGACATTTGTGTGCAATGGCGAATCCATAATTTTTAAATACAATGTTTCCTTCATATTTGATATATTTATCTTTGATTTATTGAAATTATTTATTATAGACCAACTGGTTTAAACTTGTCTATATTGTCTAATACTTTTTTTTTTTAAGATGTTTCAGAACAATAATTATTATGCATAATTACCAATGGCTCCTCCACCTTTTTCTGACTCATAAGCTATGGCAGACTCCAGTCCATAATCAACTGTAAAAACCTAATTAATATTCATATGATTAAAAAATCAGCTAATTTAGGTGTAAACCAAATATTTGATTTATGTTTTTTTCAAAATTATAACATGAAATAATATTCCTCTTGTGTAAGTATTCAGACTACTTTTGTGTTTTACTAAAACAGTAAATCACAAACACAATCAAAATAAAAAAACTATTCATTATACACATGGTTAAAAAAACAAAAATAGTTAATCTAGTTTTAGAGCAGCATAAAAAGACACAAATACTGTTGCTGTTCTGCCAAATGGGTATCAAGTGAGGTTAATGGCATTGCAGCATATCCCATGATCAGAATATATTCAATACCACATGCTAGCCAGTGTAAATGGCTCAAATGGTGCAAGTGGCAAACACTTGAAAGGAACTGCTCCACCATTGAACTCTGAACTTTCACTACATAAACTTAATGCTGTGTTTATGGGCTCACAGTGATTTAGTTGTTAGCACTTCTATCTTACAGCACCTGGGTCTGTTGTTTGAATCCTGACCACGATGCTGAAAGATCATTTGGCTCCTTTCTAAATTGGCCCTAGTGAATGCAACCTCCAAATGTAAGCTGCTTGAGGACAGAGACTGATGTAAATTTACATTATGTAAGGTGCTGCAATAATTGATTAGAGAGTTAAATGTCCTATTTCTAGTGGAGATTCTGTTATGAATTTTCAATAAAAAGAGTAGTAAACAGTACTGAGTGATCAGTTTATTAAAAATGCCCAGTGACTGGTTTGTTATTTTATTTATAGGGATAGTTTGATTGCTGCAAGATGTGCATTGTAGAGTTATGTCCTGTGTCCTGTGGGTGTGTACTGTACTTTCCCCTTAGATTCTGTTGGCAGACATTTCATGACCTGGCACCACCTGCCTTGCTTAATCTTAATCTATGTGGCTGACTTCCTACACTTAAATGCTGACTTTACCTTATCTTCCTCTTCTTGTATTGTATCTGCCTGTCTGGCATTGACTCTTGAAATGTTCTGACCACATCCAGCCTGATTCTCTGTTTCCACTGGCCTCATTCATACCTGCATGTTGCAGGTATGCACTCAAAATGGGCTGCCCTATGCTTTTACGCTACAAGCACAGAAACACGATGTGCAGGTGTGAATGGGCCAAAGTATCTGGTATTAGGAATAGCTAAATATAAAGAGGTGGACCAGGACCTATGCTTTTATAAGGTTACCAAGACCTGGAATTTATGTTGAAAAATGGGAAATTCAAACGTGTGCTGCAGATAATGAGATCCATCTAGTAAATAAGTCTGCTTTATAATGTTGGCAAATAACCTGATTAGTGAATGGGTGTCAAATGACTAGTGAAGCAATCACCCATTCCTTTAATATGGCCTATTGCACTGAAATAAAAAAAACATTAGTACATGTTGCATTAGGTCAGATAAACAGTATTACATGTTTACAATTTTTAAAATAAAATGTCAAAATTTACTTTCCTATGTGAATAACCTTGAAAAATCAGCCCCATATAGCTTTGTTCTAGAGTGAGCATTAAAAATGATAGTATAAGATCCTGTGTCAGTGGGCTTTGGGCATGTGTGTGACATAATAAATGAATGGAATCCACAGTGTCCCTAATTACTGCCACAGTAGTCTCAGTATCCCTGATCACCGCCACATGTGGCCCCAGTGTCACCATAAGGACTTGTTCATATTTGGAATTCTGTATCAAGAGCTAGAGATGGTTTGCACCTAAATTAAAGGGGGTCTGTTGTGTTTGGGGAGAGGTTTATGGGAATGCTGGAGGAGTATTTATTTATAGGATTGAGGGGGAGGGAGAATCAGATTATAAGGGGGTAGATAGATCAGATAGGGGTCAGTACTTATTGATGGGTGGAATGGGGAAAGATGTGGGGGGAGGGCTATGGCAGATGATAAGAAGGTTCCCATGTTACAAACAATCAGTGGAATTTGTACCATTTGTATGAAAATAAAAATATGCAAAATACTTGTGCACAAGATGTCAATGAATTAAAGTGTTCACCAATACCAGAAGACTGCCAAGCAAAATAGGTGAGTTGGAATCTTTGGTGCATGAACAGAACTATGATTTATTGGTATTCTGGTAATCTCAAATCATGCAGTGCTTATTATGAATGTCCATACAAAAGAACTTCTGGGTAGCAGTGACCATAACATGATTTAATTTATTGTTAGCTGTAAACAGCAAGTACTGTACGGGAAAAATGGCAAAAAAACTCTCAATTTTAAGAGAGCTAATTTTCCAATGGCTGAGAGCTGCTCTCCAAGACTTAGACATTAGGAGGTCAATATTGGAATCAATGAAACACAACCCAGGAGAAGTGACACAGAGGAGTTCAGTTTCAAAAATGTACTTGAGTAAGCCAAAAGCCTTCTGGGAAAATGTGGACAGATGAGACAAGATAGAGCTTTTCGGTAAAGCAAACTGTTTACCGAAAACGGAATGAGGCCTACAAAGAACAAAACACAGTACCTACGGTAAAATATGGTGGAGGTTCAATGATGTTTGGGGTTGTTTTGGCCTCTGGCACTGGGTGCCTTGACTGTGTGCAAGGCATCATGAAATCTGAGGATTAAAAGGATCGCACTGTAGGGCCCAGTGTCAGAAAGCTGGGTTTGGCTCCAAGATCCTGGGTCTTCCAGCAGGACAATGACCCCAAACATAATCAAAAAGCACTCAGAAATGGATGGCAAAGAAGCGCTGGAGAGTTCTGAAGTGGCCAGCAATTCTAAATCCCATTGAACACCTGTGGAGAGATCTTAAAATTGCTGTTAAAGGTGTCCTTCCAATAAAAGACCTGGAGCTGTTTGCAAAGGAAGAGTGGTCCAAAACGGGTGAGAGGTGTCAGAACTTATTGATGGTTATAGGAAGCGACTGATTTCAGTTATGTTTTCCAAAGGGTGTGCAACCAAATATTAAGTTAAGGTGCCAATACTTTTGTCCAGCCCATTTTTGGGGTTTTGTGTGACATTAATTTGCTTTTCTAATATTTGTTCCAATACATACAAAGGGAATAAAATGTGTTGCAAAAATGCAATACTTTTTTGTGTGAAATACTTGATTTTGCAAAGAGGCAACAAGCAGGAACACTATCATCATTTAAACATTACAAAGAATATAACAGAATAAAGAATAAAAATTGAAAACAAACGACAGATTGCAAAAGACAGCAGGACCAACCCCAAAAAAATCTTCAAATATATTAATAGTAAAAAAGTCCGGTCCGAGCATGTAGGCCCTTTGCAAAATAATTTAGAGTGGGTGACTGGGGACAAAGAGAAGGCAAATTTATTAAATACCCTCTTCAGCTCTGTGTATACAAAGGAGCATGGGGGAGCTCTTGTCCTTAATGGGCATGGTATTGACACAGCTCCAGATGATCCACATTGGCTCACAATTGATATGATCCAAAACTATTTAGACAGACTAAAGGTGAATAAAGCACCTGGACCAGATGGCATACACCTACGGGTCCTTAAAGAATTGAACTCTGTCATTTCAAAGCCATTGTTTCTAATTTTTAGGGACTATTTAACCACCTTCCGCCCGCCCTATAGTACAATGACGGGCGCAAGGTGGTTCTCTCATTCTGATAGGACGTCATATGACGTCCTACCATTCTCACTGCGCTGTGTCCCTCGGACACAGCGGATCACGGAAAGAGCCGAAGATGTTGGCTCGGTCATGTGAAATGCCGGTTATCGGCTTTCCGGGAGGGGACATGTACACTGATCATCAGGGCACTGATGATCAGTGTGCCTTGATGATCAGTGTGGCCCCAGAAGTGCCACCTGTCATGCTCATCAGTGCCACATGCCAGTGCCCATCAGTGCCACGTGCCAGTGCCCATCAGTGCCACATCAATGCCACATATCAGTGCCTACCAGTGCACATCAATGCCACATATCAGTGCCCATCTGAGCTGCCTTTCAATGTCACACATCAGTGCCAGTCAGTGCCATCTATCAATGCCAATTAGTGCCACCTATCAGTGCTGCCAATCAGTGCCACCTATCAGTGCCAGTCAGTGTCGCCTATCAGTGTGCATCAGTGCCAGTCAGTGCCACCTATCAGTGCCAGTCAGTGCCGCCTATCAGTGCCAGTCAGTGCCGCCTAACAGTGCCAGTCAGTGCCGCATATCAGTGCCAGTCAGTGCCGCCTATCAGTGCCAGTCAGTGCTGCCTATCAGTGCCGCCTATCAGTGCCGCCTATCAGTGTCATGTATAAGTGTCATGTATCAGTGCTGCCTTTCAGTGCCCATCAGTGATGCCTGTCAATGCCCATCAGTGCAACCTACCAGTGCCTCCTCATCAGTTCCCATCAGTGCCACCTATCAGTGTCCATCAGTGCAGCCTATCAGTGCCCATCACTGCAGCCTCATTAGCGCACATCAGTGAAGGAGAAAAATCACATATTTACAAAATTGTATAACAAAAACTAAGAAAAAAAATTTTTTTTCAAAATTTTCAGTGGTTTTTGGTTTGTTTAACAAAAAATAAAAATCCCAGAGGTGATTAAATACCACCAAAAGAAAGCTCTATCTGTCTCAAAAAAATGATAAAAATTTCATAGGGGACAGTGTTGCATGACCGCGCAATTGTCATTCAAAATGTGACAGCGCTGAAAGCTGAAAATTGGCCTGGGCAGGAAGGGGGTATAAGTGCCCTGCAGGCTAGTGGTTAATGACTGGCATAGTACCACTGGATTGGCATAAGGGCAATGTAGTGCCAATATTTTAAAAGGGGTCAAAATCTTTACCAAGTAATTATAGACCTGTTAGTTTAACTTCTATAGCTGGGAAGATACTGGAGAGTTTAATAAAAGACCACATAGATGAGTTCTTGCTGAAAAAAAAAAAATATTTTAAGCAACAGACAGCATGGATTCATGAAAGACAGAAGTTGTCAACCAAATCTAATTTCTTTTTATGAGAAGGTGAGCAAAACCTTGGACAGAGGGGTGGCTGTGGACGTGATATACTTGGATTTTGCAAAAGCGTTTGACACAGTTCCCCACACACAGCTAATTTGTAAGGTGAAGTCTACAGGCTTGGAAAAATCCGTATGTAAATGAATAGAAAACTGGCTAAAAGGTCGTATTCAGAGTGTAGTGGTTAATGATTCATACTCTGAATGGTCTAGGGTTGTTAAATGGTGTACCCCAAGGTTCAGTGTTGGGACCCTTACTTTTTAATATATTTATAAATGATATAGGGTCTGGGATTAAAAATCCCATTTCAGTCTTTTCAGATGACACCAAGCTGTGCAGTAAAATAATGTCCTTACAGGATGTCTCCAACTTACAAGCCGACCTCAATGCACTGTGTAATTGGGCAACTATATGGCAAATGAGGTTTAATGTTGATAAATGTAAGGTTATGCACTTGGGGGCTAAGAATATGCATGCATCATACATACTAGGGGGGGTACAACTGGGGGAATCAATGGTGGAGAAGGATCTGGGGATTCTGGTAGATCACAAGCTTAATAATGGCATGCAATGCCAAGCTGCAGTTTCTAAAGCGAGCAAAATCCTCTCTTGTATTAATAGAGGTATAGACTCCAGAGAGAGAGATATCATTTTACCCCTGTACAAATCATTAGTAATGCCTTATCTGGAATATGCAGTTCAATTTTGGTCACCAATTCACAAAAAGAACATTGGGGAACTGGAGAAAGTACAGAGAAGGGCAACCAAACTGATAAGAGACATGGAGGAGCTCAGCTATGAGGAAATATTAGAGGAACTGAATTTATTCTCTCTTGAGAAGAGGAGATAAAGGGGGGATATGATCAACATATATAAATACATCAGTGGTTCATATAGTGAACTCAGTGCAGAGTTATTAACCCTGAGGTCATCACAGAGGACACGGGGACACTCTTTATGTCTGGAGGAAAAGAAATGTAATTTCCAAACACGGAAAGGTTTCTTCACTGTAAGAGCTGTGAAAATGTGGAATAGACTCCCTCAAGAGTTATTCCTGGTCAGTTCATTGGATGGCTTTTAAAAAGGCCTGGATTCTTTCTTGGATACACAGAATATAACTGGTTACTATGTATAGGTAAAGTTGATCCAGGGAAAATCTGATTGTCTCTCGGGGGATCAGGAAGGAGTTTTTACCCCTGCAGGAGCAAATTGGATCATGCTGTGCTGGGTTTTTTGCCTTCCTTTGGATCAACTGTGGGTGTAGGATTATAACTTTATTTTTTTTATGGTTGAAACTGGATGTTCTTTTCTTTTTTCAGCCAAACGTATTTGGATTACTCTTCAGACAGCATTTGACAGGCACTGACGAGGCATTGTATTGCCTTCTCACCATCTGCTTTAACCTCTTGGATCCCACACATGCAACTCCTTTCACTTGAAGGGGTTGTGATCAGCAGGCGTACAGGAGGTATAATTCCTGCCACAGCTGTGAAGCAAAGCATCACATCCATGGCATGTGTACACCCCTGGAAGCTGTCTCTGCAGCTAAATAAATTAACAGTTGAGGGATTGTGGCCAGGGGCGAACTGACAACTCATGTGGCCCCCGGGCAATAGGGGATCATGGGGCCCCTGTGTCCTTGCCCAAACTCAAAAAAGCCTATGAAAAAGGTACCAGGGGCATCTCATGGGACCCCCTACTGACCCCGGGCCCTCAGGCAGTGCCTGAGTTTCCAAATGGTCAGTCCGCCCCTGATTGTGGCTCAACCATAAGGTTTTACTACCCTCTATACCTGAAAACTACCTGAATGAGCCAGTCACAGTCTATCCAATCACCACCACACAATGTCTCCAACCTAGTGTAGCTAGAATCAGTATTTCAGATTACCACCACACCAGACCAGTGCAGCCAGCAACAGTTTTCCTGATCACCGCCACACCAGTCCAAGTGTCACCAGACTAGTGTATGCCAGCAACAGTGTTCCTTATCATGGCCATACCAGTCACAGTGTCATCAGACCAGTGTAAATCAGGAAAAGTGTTCCTGATCATCACTATACAAGTCCCAGTGTCACCAAACCAGTGCAGCCTGCAACAGTGCTCCTGATCAATGCCACAGTATAGGTCAAATACAAAAATTTCAACTTCAAAAACCTCACTATGCTTCCTACTAAATAACTTGAACTGTTTGCGATCCATAAAAGGGTAATTTTGGGGTTATTTGTACTTTTCTGGCATTTTAAGGCCTTGAAAAATCAGATTCAGGGTCAGGAGTCAGGATTGATCAATTTTCATATACTGTATATATACCATTGTTTGTAGACACTATAACTTTCACACATACTAATTAATACAGTGGGGCAAAAAATTATTTAGTCAGCCACCAATTGTGCACGTTCTCCCACTTAAAAAGATGAGAGAGGCCTGTAATTGGCATCATAGGTAGACCTCAACTATGAGAGACAAAATGAGAAAAAAAATCCAGACAATCACATTGGCTGATTTGGAAAGAATTTATTTGCAAATTATGGTGGAAAATAAGTATTTGGTCACCTACAAACAAGCAAGATTTCTGGCTCTCACACACCTGTACCTTCTTCTATAAGAGGCTCCTCTGTCCTGCACTCATTACCTGTATCAATGGCACCTGTTTGAACTTGTTATCAGTATAAAAGACACCTGTCCACAACCTCAAACAGTCACACTCCAAACTCCACTATGGGGAAGACCAAAGAGCTGTCGAAGGACACCAGAAACAAAATTGTAGACCTGCACCAGGCTGGGAAGACTGAATCTGCAATAAGCAAGCAGCTTGGTGTGAACAAATCAACTGTGGGAGCAATAATTAGAAAATGGAAGACATACAAGACCACTGATAATCTCCCTCGATCTGGGGATCCACGCAAGATCTCACCCTGTGGGGTCAAAATGATCAGAAGAACAGTGAGTAAAAATCCCAGGACCACACGGGGGGACCTAGTGAATGATCTGCAGAGAGCTGGGACCAACGTAACAAAGGCTACCATCAGTAACACACTACGCCGCCAGGGACTCAGATCCTGCAGTGCCAGACGTGTCCCCCTGCTTAAGCCAGTACATGTCCGGGCCCATCTGAAGTTTGCTAGAGAGCATTTGGATGATCCAGAAGAGGATTGGGAGAATGTCATATGGTCAGGTGAAACCAAAATAGAACTGTTTGGTAGAAACACAACTCGTCATGTTTGGAGGAGAGAGAATGCTGAGTTGCATCCAAAGAACACCATACCTACTGTGAAGCATGGGGGTGGCAACATTATGCTTTAGGGCTGTTTCTCCACAAAGGGACCAGGACGACTGATCCATGTACAGGACAGAATGAATGGGGCCATGTATCGTGAGATTTTGAGTGCAAACCTCCTTCCATCAGCAAGGGCATTGAAGATGAAACATGGCTGGGTCTTCCAACATGACAATGATCCCAAACCTACGGGCAACAAAGAAGTGGCTTCATAAGAAGCATTTCAAGGTCCTGGAGTGGCCTAGCCAGTCTCCAGATCTCGCCCTCATAGAAAACCTTTGGAGGGAGTTGAAAAGTCTGTGTTGCCCAGCGACAGCCCCAAAATATCACTGCTCTAGAGGAGATCTGCATGGAGGAATGGGCCAACATACCAGCAACAGTGTGTGCCAACCTTGTGAAGACTTTCAGGAAATGTTTGACCTCTGTCATTGCCAACAAAGGGTATATAACAAAGTATTGAGATGAACTTTTGATATTGACCAAATACTTATTTTCCACCATAATTTGCAAATAAATTCTTTCCAAATCAGCCAATGTGATTGTCTGGATTTTTTTTCTCATTTTGTCTCTCATAGTTGAGGTCTACCTATGATGCCAATTACAGGCCTCTCTCATCTTTTTAAGTGGGAGAACGTGCACAATTGGTGGCTGACTAAATACTTTTTTGCCCCACTGTATATACCAATTTGGATTTTTTTAACCAAAGAAATGTAGCAAAACACATTTTGTCTTAAATTGATTATGAAAAATTATTTATTTGCAAAATGTTATAACATAAACTAAAAAAAAACTATTTTTTTTC